ATTTGGCAGCGGAAGGTGATGTCCACCATGGCTGGCTGCAACTTGCTGGTTCCCTTGGGTTGGCAAATCCTCATTCAAAAAAATATTGGGCCAATGCATGCCCACAGAAACATGTGGCAAAAGATGTGGCCAAAACATGGCTTTTGTGGGTTGTTACATGTCATGGAGATTGTGCCCAAAACAAGCATTTTTGCTTTGACAAGCTTTTGCATGTTCATCCAAAAGGAGAAATCATTTTTGACAATTTGCAAAACAAAGATATTTCTGGGGAAACAAATTCTCAATTCATGAGGGAAAAAAACAAGTTTTTTTAATGGTGGTTTTTTCTTTTGGTATGCAAATATATGGTGAATGTAAATATTATGGAAGCAAATAAACATTCTTGGTAATTGAGAATGGTTGAAATCAAGCTCTAAACAGATCTGGAAAATTATACAGAGTTAACTTGAGTTAAGTTAGTTACATAATTTCATCAAAAAGTTAATAATTTAACTTATGTTAAAAATTACCACTAGTTGTACATAGTTAGGACCTAGTTGTAAATTGTTAACACATAGTTGTAACTAGTTGATAAATGAACATAACTGATTCTAACTATGTTAACTCCTTACAAAAAAACCAGGATCTCAAGTGCTTTGTAATTCTTGTGGGCAGCTTCGACGCCCCAGCAGACACAAGCGACTCGGTCTCGCCGGTACTGCTGAGGCAGGTGCAAGCGACAATGGTGTTTTGGTCTGCTGCGACCCGGATACTGTTCAGCGAACAGTTTTTGATGCAAGGACTGCTCCATCGCCAAATCTTGCCATGCAGCGTCTCCTCTCCGTCGGCCACGCAAAAGATCGGTGACGCGACACAGCTGCAGAAAGCTCTGCGCCGCTCCACGCAAGCTCGGCATGCTGCACCAATGCGCGTCTGCTACCCAGCGGAGCAAGGCGGCAAGCGCAATGGTTTCACTAGCCGAGCCTTTGAAGCCAGCCGAACCGAAGAGACAGTCTTTGAAGAGCCGACGAAGAAAACTCGGTCCTTGGCGTTCAGCAGTGGCTCTGCGCCACTTGGCTGCCAGACAGACTTCAGCTAGAGCAGCCAAATCAACGCCCAACTGTCGTTTCACTTCTTCCAACAGCAACATCATTTCCGAGTTGCAAATGCCATTGCTCCAATAGCAATGCAACGCATCGTTTTGTATCATATCCACATGCAGCAGAGCTCGACTCACGGGACACGCCCACAGGCTGTGACCATCGAAATTAAAACCTAGCACGCGTTCACGGAGGTCCCTTTCACATTTTGGCCATGTGCTCACACGGGCGAGACCGCCCAGAATGCACGTTTCCAAGTCTTGCCGGTCATACTGCCTGAAGCGATCGAAGTCATGTTCTGCAACAGTTCGAAAACCCTCGTCGCTGCAGCTGTCACCTGCGTATTGTGCGATGCAGTTGCTGCAAAAGCAACATGGCTTCAGCGCCGCCGAACCCTTGGCGGCCATGGCCGCTCGCTGTGAGTCAAGGTCAGATATGAAGATTTTCAACTTCACCGACACCATGCGCCGCTGCAATCCGATAGCAAAGGGTACACCTATAGTGCACTGTCAGACCATTGCCGCAGAAAAGCGGCTGTCGCTCCCGACACCTCCCCTACATTTCTGCAGTTGGTCATGCGTTATCGCTGCCACAGGCAGCCACGCACGACTGGAAGTCCACAGACTTTCTAAAGCTGTGAAAGTCACATAGAAAAGAAGAATCTTTTTCCGCAACAGCGGGTTCAACACGTTTCCTGCTGTCGCCTCATCGTGCGACAGCACGGCCTGTAACCGGCCACCCGGAGAAGACGTCAGCATCTCTTCCATGCTGGGGCAGCGTTGACACAGAAGATCTAAGACCTTTTTCATATCAGCTGCAAAAAAAACCACCTCCTCTTCGTTTCCTTCCGCTGAAGATAGCCGCACGGGCTGAAAGCAATGCCGATACGGTCGAAGCACCTTCTGTTGCGTGCGCTTCAAGCAGCCTGGTGCATGCGCCTTGACAGCACGCTTTTTGATTATCCCTTTCACAAGAGATATGCAACGTAGACTATACCGAGCTAATCCTTTCCGGATGAACTCTCGATCCACTTTGCGGCATTGTGTTCTCTGCTCCATGTTTCCTCCCAGGCTATTGACTATGCAAGCCAAACGGCTTCACGACCAGAACCCCTGTGAAACAATAACCTAACTCCGCACAGTGTTGCAAAAGATGCAAACCCCTGTGAAACAATACCGTTACTCAGCACACTGTTGCAAAGGCTGCAAACCCCTGTGAAAGCATAAACCTATGTTGGAGTTGCCTTAAGTGGGCAAGATTCCTACATCTGCCCAATTGCGAAGGATACAGCAACCTGTCAATCCTGTTACCTGTCAGGCTACAAGGACACATCACACCATTCATGTTTAAACATTTTTTTTAAACTTTGGGGGTTTTGTTCGACTGTAACCTTTCGTTCTTATTCGATATATTATTCACGTTGCTTTCATTGCTACTGTCTATTTCGATTGTTTTTTTTGGACAGTTAGTAACGTAGAGATTTTCTTTAGGTATTAAAGAAATGTAATATATCTATATTCTATATATATATATATGTGTGTATCAGCATGTATATGGATATATGTAGCAAGATATTTTTCTGCACATATATATATATGTATATATACATAACCTTCTATCGAATGAAACTAACTGTAAGCACAACCGGTAGGAAAACCAGGAGAGATATATTCTTTGGAAAAAGTTTGCACACATGCAACAAATGCGAAGCATGGAGTCTTCCTACTGCATTCGGAAACCTATGCGGTTGCATTCAACCCCTCTTGTCACACGCAGCAGCTTATGTTTTTCTGCACGATTCAAGCTATCTTTGCTTCGTGATTCTGCGCTGCAATGTGTGAAAATTTTCCCTTGCTTTTCACACTTCTGAGAAGCGCCTACAGATGAACCCGTCGCCGTTCAGCTAAACTGCTGCGCAGCAACAAAAAGAGATTTGGCCGACACGATGCGCCGACGAAACGCAATCATGCCACGCAGAGACACCAATTGTCTCCGCTCAGTCCGTCTTTGCAGCCTGTGCCTTCGCTTTGGCCTTCACACTGGGACCTTTGCTCACCTTCGTGAGCGCCTGCAGTGCACGCAGAGCCTCATTTCCTTTCTTCACAACTTCTTGGGTTTCTTTCTCATTCAAAAGAACTTCGGCTGCCATGTTCGCCAAGCCCAAACCCCTTGCTGCTCCGCCCAACATCTTGGTCGCATTTGCCACAGCAGAGGCCAGGTTCTGGCCAGCAAGTGTCACCAGCTCGGTTGTGGCAGGGGGCACTGGCACGTTGTGCAGCTGCGCCTTTAGCGTCGCCTCTTCCAGCTTCGCAGTCAACTTTTGCAATCCAGGCAAATGCTTTCCAGCAGTGGCCACAGCAGTTGATTCCAACTTGACACGTTTCTTGGCTTCTTGCTTGGCCTGCTTGGCAGCTTCTTTGTCTTTCTGTTTCTCCTCTGCAGTCTTTCTTTTCTTGCCTCCACCAGGTGCTTTGACAATCTCCGCGGCCGGTAAATCCAACTGCAGAGCCGGCACGCCGCCAGACGACGACGGAGCAGTGGCTGACACTGGCTGCTGCCGCTGGCGGAAATCACTCTCCATGCGCACAATGCGCTCCTCCGTCAGCTTGGCAATGAACTCTGTGGATTTCTTGGTGATGTCAACCCTGTAAGTGTCCCCCAAGATGGGGTGACTGCGTTTTTCGGCCAGCTGTTCGATGTTGGCCACATTGTACCCTCGAAGTTCCCAGAAACTCAAGGGTTGGAACTCACCAAAGTCGCCTTCCCTGTCCTCTCGGGAAGAAGACTCAATCATTGCTTGCTTGAGCACACCTCTGGCCTGACTATACGATAGACGTTTGTCAGCGGAGTTGTCGCGCACGGCCTTCGCCTCAGCAAAGAAAGCAACAGTCTCTTCTTCATTCAAGAGAGACTTCATTTCAATACCGTGCCGCTGCAGCGTTGTGTGACACGCATGGCAGCTACGGCATGTCCAGCGCAGCTCCATGCGAAACTTTGGATTCTCCACACAATTTTCACGATCCACCACAGTTGCGCAACGACGACACGTCACCTGCACCGGCTGCGCAGCCTTGTCAGTTTCCTGCGGTTCTGCCTCCGCAAGAACAAGCGGCTGACCATCAGCTGGAGCAGCCGACGACGCTGGCTCAGTCGATCCTGCCGGCTTGCCCCCAACGTCCGTAGACTCTGGTGAAGCCGCAGGTGTCGTCACAGCAGCATCCTGGTCATCTGCAGCCGCGAAAACATTCTCTTGCTGCAACGTCGCTTCCGTCGCATCCATGGCGACAGAGGCGTCCGCAGCAGCCACATGGCTATAGCTTCTGTGGTCACAGTAGCCATTTTCACGCTTTCGCGCGAAACAACAGGTGCAGTCGGGACAGCTTGAGTACTGCAAAACGGCTGCGAAGAGCGTTTCGTAGGAAACACAAAAATACACATTTTTAACACATGCGTGTTTACACTCCTGGTTGTACTCTCCTCGGGAAACACACACGCGTATCTATACTTTTTCATTGCTTTCCCATGGATACACACACGCGTTTCTGTTTTTTCCTGGAAACACATTAGTATCAGATGTGTTTTGCAATCATCGGAGTCACGGGAGGAAACACATATTTAACACATTCAGTTTTTATCGTTGATCTATATTATTGTTTTAGAAACACATGTGTGTATCCAATGTGGGGGCTTATAACATACGGATATACAAACGTGTTTCTACCTTTGTGTTGTTTCTACCACGGAAACACAAACGTGTTTTCATGCTTTTTCTTGTTTCAGCAAGAAACACAAACGCGTTTCTTTCCCACAGCTTCTCACAACCCTCGAACCGCTTGAAACAGCTGGAACCATTCCGTTTTTTTGTCCTCCAAAGGAGTGTTTCAGTGCACGGTGTCAGCAAGACTGTACAAGGAAAAATTCCTATTTGCCTTTCTGGGATTCCTTGTCATGCACAACCTCCATGGCCGTGCGCAGCAAGGTACTGTACAAATCGCTCAGCCGCGCAGAGGCTGCGCCAGTGCCAGGGTGGTGGTTTGGCGCCGACTGGCGCGGAGACAGGGTCGTGGCAGGGGCACTTGCAGAGCTACCAGGAACAGGCACCAGTGAGGCAGCCGGTGCAGATGCTTTCGCCACTTCCCCTGTCTTTCCAACACCAGCCTTGGCACTGACCTTGGCAGGTGCTGTCACTGTGGCTTCTTTCTGGCCAGTCTCCCTTCCAGCGCCTTCGCTCCGAGACGAAGATTCATACGTGTAGGAGTACTCGGACGATCCTGCGTCTTCCTCCCGCTCAGCTTCCTTCTCTTTCTGCTCTTTAGCCGTCTGGGCTACGTCCTTGGCAGCAGCAGGCGCTGCTGCGGAACGAGCAGTCCCAATCTTCCCTCGAGCACCCAACGGCACCTCTTCGACCACTTCCTTGTACTCTGCCTTGCGCGACTTCGGCTTGCGGGCCTCATCGCGCGGCTCTCGGCTCCGGGCACGGTTGCGGCCTGACGAGCGCGCGCGCTCGCCGTGCTCTCTGTGCCTCCTGTGCCGTTCATCCACAGTGCACGACCTGCCTCGACGACGATCCCTCGATCGCGATCGATGCGACCCCCGGACACTGGACCTCTCCCGATCCGTCCGCCAGCAAACATAGTCCCAGTCATAGTAAGCTTCTCTTTCCCAGGCCTTGCTATTGTGGCCGCGGGGCGGCACTTTGGGTTCCGGAGGCCGCTCGCGGCCGCGATGCTTTGGATTTTCGTGCAGGGTCCAGCCACCCTGCCCACGATCTTCCTTCTCCACTTTGGCTCGCCAGTGCCACCAATCTCCACCATGCTGCTTGTAGAGACGCGTGGCCCGGCAAAAGACACTATCCCAGTGCTGCTGTTTTGCAATGGGATCATCTTGGATCACCCTCTGGCACTCGGAGCACGTCCACGTCCCAGGATCTCCTTTCTTTCTTCTGTGGGCGACAGCCCCACTCCCCTTGGCTCGCTTCTCCATAGGACGCTGCTTGCTCTCCTTCTTCTCCGCTGCAGCGTCCGTCTCTTTCCTTTCCGGTTCCGGCGCAGCCACCGCGCTCTCCGGCGCCGCTGGCGGTGACTTGCGCCTTTCTGGACTCCTCTTCGTGGACCTACTCCGCGAAGAACTCGACATCACCATCTGGCCTGCAGTCAGAAACGAAGCAGAAAGAGAAACAAAAACTATATAATATATTTACGTTCCTTTACGTTTGTATATATCATGGGGAGGAATGCAATGACATATATATATATAATATATTCTATAAATATATAGAATCTCTCTTCAATATACAATGTTTAAAACGTCACACGTTGACAACCGTGGCTGAGAGATGAAGACAGCTTGTCCGTGGACGAAAGATGCTGAACGCATATCAGATCTGGCTTGCCCGTGGGCTAAGCCGCAGCTTGTTCGCAGACAGAGCTACTTAGCGGGAGCTTGTCCGTAGACAAAGCTTTTGCACTTAGTGTTGCTCAGCTTGTCCGCAGACGAAGCTCTTGCTTGTCCTTAGACGAAGCACGCTGGTGCCTGGCTTGCCCGTAGGCTAAGCCTTAGCTTGTCCGTAGACAAAGCTCTTGCTTGTCCTCAGACGAAGCACGCTAACACCTGGCTTGCCCGCAGGCTAAGCCGCAGCTTGTCCGTAGACAAAGCTCTTGCTTGTCCTCAGACAAAGCACGCTGAAACCTGGCTTGCCAGTAGGCTAAGCCGCAGCTTGTCCGTAGACGAAGCGCTTTATGAAGAAAAGTTAAATATATATATATATATATATATGTATAAATATATATGAATTATATCCCTTTTCAACGGCCCATCTCCCCCTCCGCGCCTCTCCGCGGAACGCGAACCGTCTGGGGACCGATCGCGAAACGCAGAAGCAAGACTTGAACCGAAAGGACATCAACGTGCATGTGAACAACACAGTGACACAACACACGCACCGAAATCCAATGACAGAAAGTCAGAGGCTGCCGTTTTCGTTTTCCCGCATGGCCACACCGGTCCTTCTCTCTGAAGCTTGCAATCCTCAGCTACACGGACCATTTAAAAGTCTGTATCACAAATATACAGAAACACTTGCCCAGCGTGTAAGATGTCCGACACACGCTCTGCATCGATGCCCTCTTCGGTGGCAACATTCATTTGTATGTTCTTCAACTCATCATAGATCGGACAGTCTTCCATGTTAATGTCTGAGCGCTCATCAAACTGTGTGACAAGCGCTTCTGCAGCTGCCAATGCACGGCCACGCCACGGCTCCGTGGCCAAGAGGCTGGGCGCCGCATTTCCAACCATCCCCTCCGTCTTTGGCTGGGTGCTCTGCGCCTCTGTGTTGCTGCCTTCCTCGGGCGCGTACAGAGCAGCCAACGTTGGACTTTGCAAAGTCACCGACTTGTCATTGGTAGCCAAACGTACTGTCCCATCCTCCTCAGTTGTCGCCACAACATGCTTGGCTTCCATGGCTTCAGAAAAAAGAAACAAAGTCTTAAAGGTGGGGGGTTTCCGTCTAATCTTGAAAATGCTAACGCTGCGAAGAGACATGAAGAAATGTATCAATCCCCAATTGAAAAACCCACAACATGGAGACATGAAAGGAACCCATGCAGGGAGATGAGCCGGAAGTTGAAAAACATTCTTTGTCACTCGAGAGGGATGTCAAAATTCAGGCGCCAAAAATGCAATGCCACGGTACTTCCATTCTAGCTGACACGGTAGCCGCGCTGAGTCCAGCAGCTAGGGCAGCAGCCAGGAGTGTTGGTCGCCACTTGAGTTGCTGCTTGCGAGTCACCAGCCCCTTAGCAGCACCACGCGAAGCAGCAGGCGAAGCAGCAGCCTTCTTGGAAGCAGCCGCAGGCTTCTTATTAGACCCATCTGCTCCCCGCTGGGACATCTTCGCAGGGACTCGATTGTTCGCTGCCGGGCGCTTCATGGCACCTTTCTCGGCACCAACCGCCACTTCCTCAGCCTTAGTTTCCTCAGAAACACTGCCCAGAGAGGAGGTTGCAGCAGCGGGGCGCTTGCGCGGGCGACCCTTCGCAGCAGCTGGACGCTTGATCACACCTTCCTCTTTCTCGGCGGCAGCAGCCTCCTGCACTCCCTTTCCATAGTACGATTGCGCAAGCCTATCCATGGCTTCCGACACACGCTGCGGCACATCCACTTGTCCAGTTGGTTCAGCAGCCCCTTGCAAATCTCCTCCGTCTGCAGCTGCGGGAACAAGCGAAACCTCCTTGGCGTGCTCCCATGGTCCCGGCTCCACCGAGGCTGGAACTGCAACAGAAACCGCACGTGCCGGCTCCTCCACACGCTCCATCGCTTCAGCTGGGGCCGCGGGCGCTGCTGCACCCACAGCTGAAATGCTCGAAGATGCCACACTTGCCACAGCGGGTGCTGTCGCACGATCCATCAGCATCCGCACAGATGCAGCGCCGGTCGGGGCTGCAGCTGCACGGTTTCCAAAAATCTGCAAGTTCTTCAACTCAGGGTCCTGTGGGTGCACATTGTTCTGCGTTGCCAATCCCTGCGCCATTACCATGGCTGCTTGGGCCATCTGTGCTGTCTGGAACATCTGCAAACCATGGAATCCACCAATTCCAAACATGGCCGCAGAACCCTGCTGAAGCTGACGCTGCAATTGAACGTCCCTATGTGTGGAACGCAAAGGAATTGCGCGTGCCTTCTGCAAGATCTTGTCCAAGTCAACGCAGGCAGGAATCGCAGCAAACCCTGACGGCGCAACGGCCTCTTGCACAGCGACCGGTAACTGCGCCACTTGATTTGGCAATGTTTCAACGTACTGGCCTGCTGGCAGTGGCACGCCGCTGATGCGAGCCCTTGAAACCATGGTCCGCATTACTGACTTAACGGTGGCAAGCAAGGACTGCAACTGCATCAAGTTCTCATCCGAGCGGCATGCCACCAAGGCAGTAATGACTGCCAAGGTTGGCTCCGATGGGTGCCGAAGACCAAGGCTATTCACCAGATACCCCACCACTGCATCAGCACGATGCAATGCTGATGCAAGTGGCGTCACCGTCAGCTCGTTCCAAATTGCAACAGTCAAAAAAAGACAGCAGGATCGGTAATCCTGCATCGCTGCTCTCGTCGCTGATCCATTTTCAGGCGCTTCCATGACCAACGGAAAAAAAGGCTGCGTTTGAGCTTGGAAACCTTGCAGACCAATCGAAACTATGTTTCCCTGCCCAAAAACAGCTATCTTTCCTAACTTATTTTTATCTTTTTTCAACATATATGTTATCTCATGTTATATCTCCCTATCTGAAGTTATAAATTGAACCGAAGTTAACATACTTAACCCAAGTTATAACTTCACTCACCCACGTTATAACTTCATATGAACCACATATAACTTGACTTATTACATGGGGGCCTCACCTTGTATTGAACCAACTTCAAACGATCAGAGTCTGATAGAGTCCGATAGAATTTGACTATGTATTAGGATACAGCCAATAAAAACTTCAAAGATACATGTTGTTAAATATACGTGTATATACATACGTATATATATATATATATATTCATATATGTTCAATCACTAGAAAATCCGCCGACCCCGGCCTTAGCCAAGGCAGGGGCGGCGCCTGGGACCACCGCAGGTGTGGAACTTGTCTTTCTTAGCAACAGGCATCCCAAGGCCACATCAATGGCTTCTGATGGGCGTCCAAGCGTGCCATTTGCCACGCCTTAAACGCTGAAAAGGCTTCAAACCTTTAGAACTTGTCTTTCTTAGCAACAGGCATCCCAAGGCCACATCAATGGCCTCTTATAGGCCCCAAGCCTGCCGTTGCTTGGCCTTCAACGCTTCAAAAGCTTCAAACCGTTACAACTTTGCAAAAGCTTCGCCGAACGCCCAACCGCGCAGGCAAAAGCTCCCAAGCCACATCAATGCGCAACGCCCAACCGTGCAGGCAAAAGCTACCCCAAGGCCAGATCCATCGCTTCTTCTGGGCGGTCCAGCCTGCCGTTCGCCAGGCTTTCGCAGCCAACAGGCACCCCAAGGCCACATCAATGGCTTCTTATGGGCGTCCAAGCCTGCCGTTTGCCAGCCCCTAAACCCTTAAAACCCCTAAAACCTCGAAAACCCCTAAAACCCCTAAAACCCTTAAAACCATTAAAACCCTTCAAACTCTGCAAAAGCGTCTCGGAATGCCCAACCGCGCAGGCAAAAGCTACCCCCAAGCCACATACACTTTTTCTATCGCGACGCCGTCCTTCTCCGCCAGGCTTTCGCAGCCAACAGGCACCCCAAGGCCACATCAATGGCTTCTTCTGGGCGTCCAAGCCTGCCGTTTGCCAGCCCCTAAACCCCTAAAACCCCTAAAACCCTTAAAACCCTTAAAACTCTGCAAAAGCATCTCGGAATGCCCAACCGCGCAGGCAAAAGCTACCCCCAAGCCACATACGCTTTTTCCGTCGCAACGCCGTCCTTGTTCGCCAGGCGTTCGCAGCCAACAGGCACCCCAAGGCCACATCAATGGCTTCTTATGGGCGTCCAAGCCTGCCGTTTGCCAGCCCCTAAACCCCTAAAACCCCTAAAATCCCTAAAACCTTTAAAGCCCTTAAAACTCTGCAAAAGCGTCTCGGAACGCCCAACCGCGCAACCCCCAAGCCACATCAATGCGCAACGCCCAACCGTGCAGGCAAAAGCTACCCCAAGGCCAGATCCATCGCTTCTTCTGGGCCGTCCAGCCTGCCGTTCGCCAGGCTTTCGCAGCCAACAGGCACCCCAAGGCCACATCAATGGCTTCTTCTGGGCGTCCAAGCCTGCCGTTTGCCAGCCCCTAAACCCCTAAAACCCCTAAAACCCCTAAAACCCTTAAAACCCTTAAAACTCTGCAAAAGCATCTCGGAATGCCCAACCGCGCAGGCAAAAGCTACCCCCAAGCCACATACACTTTTTCCATCGCAACGCCGTCCTTCTCCGCCAGGCTTTCGCAGCCAACAGGCACCCCAAGGCCACATCAATGGCTTCTTCTGGGCGTCCAAGCCTGCCGTTTGCCAGCCCCTAAACCCCTAAAACCCCTAAAACCCTTAAAACCCCTAAACCTTAAACTTTTTAAAACACTTAAAACTCTGCAAAAGCCTCTCGGAACGCCCAACCGCGCAATCCCCAAGCCACATCAATGCGCAACGCCCAACCGCGCAGGCAAAAGCTACCCCAAGGCCAGATCCATCACTTCTTCTGGGCGGTCCAGCCTGCCGTTCGCCAGGCATTCGCAGCCAACAGGCACCCCAAGGCCACATCAACGGCTTCTTATGGGCGTCCAAGCCTGCCGTTTGCCCCTAAACCCTTAAAACCCCTAAAACCCCTAAAACCCCAACAACCCCTAAAACCATTAAAACCTTTCAAACTCTGCAAAAGCGTCTCGGAATGCCCAACCGCGCAGGCAAAAGCTACCCCCAAGCCACATACACTTTTTCCATCGCAACGCCGTCCTTCTCCGCCAGGCTTTCGCAGCCAACAGGCACCCCAAGGCCACATCAATGGCTTCTTCTGGGCGTCCAAGCCTGCCGTTTGCCAGCCCCTAAACCCCTAAAACACCGAAAACCCCTAAAACCCTCAAAACCCTTAAAACTCTGCAAAAGCGTCTCGGAATGCCCAACCGCGCAGGCAAAAGCTACCCCCAAGCCACATACGCTTTTTCCGTCGCAACGCCGTCCTTGTTCGCCAGGCATTCGCAGCCAACAGGCACCCCAAGGCCACATCAATGGCTTCTTCTGGGCGTCCAAGCCTGCCGTTTGCCAGCCCCTAAACCCCTAAAACCCCCCCCCCCCCCCCCCCCCCCCCTAAAACCCTAAAACTCTGACAAAAGCGTCCCGAAAAAGCCCAACGCGCAACCCCCAAGCACATCAATGCGCAACGCCAACCGCGGCAGGCAAAAGTACCCAAGGCCAGATCCATGGCTTCTTCTGGGCGGTCCAGCCTGCCGTTCGCCAGGCTTTCGCAGCCAACAGGCACCCCAAGGCCACATCAATGGCTTCTTATGGGCGTCCAAGCCTGCCGTTTGCCAGCCCCTAAACCCCTAAAACCCTTAAAACCCTTAAAACTCTGCAAAAGCGTCTCGGAATGCCCAACCGCGCAGGCAAAAGCTACCCCCAAGCCACATACGCTTTTTCCGTCACAACGCCGTCCTTGACAGAAAACTTGTTCCCACACACCGTCCGATGGTCTATTTGCCCTGTCTTCACAGGCCCGCATGCGATCCAATTGCCAAAAGTTCACCGCCGAAAGACTGTAAATTCTTGGGCTTCAATATGTTCGTCAGGGATAATCATGTGCTTACCATAGTGTATCACCGCATTAAATTTCCCTAAACATGCGTAAATACACAAATACTCTGTGCTGAATGTGATATATATATATATATATGTATATATATATATAATACACATATATACAATATATATATATATGATATGATATGATATGATATGATATGATGTGATATGATATGATATGATATGATATGATATGATATATATATATATATATATGTACCTGCAACATCCTGTTGTGCCATACTTTAGCCTCTTAGCATAGGAGCCAACATCTCACCGGGACAGGCCTCCCCCCAAACAAGGGGGGTCGGCGGCACCAGGGCGTTAGCCCATTCTATAACACAAAAGAATAACATGGATATCACAAACATCATCATCAGTTGCCGTGGTCCTTTACCAGTCATCTTCCAAGATAGTTCTCATGTCCTTTCAGCAAGTCTTTGGAAAGCTATATGGTAACCTTGAAAAAAACAACCTAGTAGTCAAATCTTTAGTCAAGTGTCACTTTCTTTTTTTGGGGTGGTTGTTTTGAGGTCATCTTGGACATTTCGCAGAAGCATCTGAATTCATCTGAATTGACAGAAAGCTGAAGCGCCCACTGGCATCCAGTCCGCCTTTTAAAACCAGCGGGCATAGCTGCAACAAATACTTGGAGAACACTCCCAGCGGCGCCCAGGCGTCGCAACTGTTTCGCAAATGATCCAGGTATATCTTTCGGGGATCCGTATCCCAGGGGATTGACGAACAGCTTATTCACCACGATTTGTCTGGAGTGATCCTCGTTCAACATGTGGGTTGTCCCAACAAAGACAGATCCAATGCAAACCGGGGCTTCTGGGTACGAATTCAGCATGCCTCCAATTGGATGAGGAATGGCGAACCCAAAATCTGCAGTTTTCGTAGGTGGGGATGGGTCGAAACTTATTATGTGGATCGTGTGGTACTCCAAACCATCGGTGATCATGGATTTCCACCATGAAGACTTGCAACCGCTAGATTTTGGAGTCTCGCCGTTGTCTATGGAAGTTTAAGGATACCCCTCAAAAAAGCTCCCTCCCCCATATAGGGGCTCAGCGCAAAAGTCGGCTGGTGGTGAACCACTTAGCTTCGCCGGGGGATGACGGGTTAGCTTCCACCGAGCATCAGCACCGATCATTCGGATGTCGGGCCGAAAACTCGATTGACAACGAAAGCCTCGAGTCCGGACCAGCATGAAGAATGGATTGGTTTAAGAGGAAAGAAGAGTGCCAAACTTCATGAAACTTCAATATATATATATAATTATTATAAATGCTATAAACATGGGATTCAACTTGAAATGGCACGTAGCCGTAGCCCTGAAACAAAACATTCCCTTATAGAGAATTCTCTTCCCAAGCCATATCCGTTTCCTGGCAATTAAACCTGATGGGAAGATGTACTCATTTGCCACAAGGAGGTGCGCCAATGATGTTTGTCGGTAAGCCCAATTTCATTCTTCGGTATATCTACCGAAGAGTTATTGGAGCTATAGTGTAAATTTATAAATGTACCAACTTAGCGATTCACTGGGCACCACCTTGTAGAAAAGAAACTGTCTTTGCGAGGTATGTCATCCCCATGGACCCATCCTTCTGGATGGAAAACCCGAGATGTTTACCTCCAAAAGACAGGACCCTGTACATGCTGGGTACCCAAAACATCCCAAAACCATGGGCCTGAAACTTGTAACTTCATGGACCAATTTGCAAAGGAACAGTGGCATTCCACGATTTTAGACACACTGAGTCACCGCACAATTGAGTTCTAGAGGCACTTCTTGTGTAGGGCATATGTATTCTATTTAATTCGAAAAGCTTGCTAAATGGTTTCGTCTGAACATATGTGGGGTAATTGCCTTAAGCTCTCATGGTTTAGCCACATTTTCCGTATTACATTGGCTTATGAACTTAGCTGTTTGCTCTAACATGATCCTCTGTTAAGAAATTCTCACGAGATATGGCTTGAATATAACCCCATTTAGTGGCACCTGCCACACACCACATGGACCAAAACACCTAAACTGCCACAACAAAAAGTGGATACTGCAACAACAAGTGGATACGGCCTATGTTGTGTGAGCTGCCACAATTTTTGTGGATTCTGCCAACAGTCATACAGTACGTACTTTGGCCTGTTGTAGCAACCCCAACATGTCATACACCAAGGACCGCCAAAAAGAAATCCGCAGCAACGAGTTGCGTCAAGGGACTTTTGTCGTCCATCTCAAGCCAATTGGAAAAGGAGATGCGACCAGCTTCCATGTCAAGGTCGCCTTGAAGTAGAATGTCCTTGCTTCATGTGTGCCATGGCCAAAACACGGGTCGTTTTTCCACAAAGAAGATATATTCATCCCCAAATCAATAGGGATTAACAATGATTAATATTAAAGCATATATTATATATATAATATACACATACAGTATATATATATATATATATACATATAGGTATATTATTGCAAGGATTCTCGAATGACTGTGGGATGCCCCATACCTCCCATGTTACAATGGTTGCGGGTATGTTTTAGGTCCATTGGCATCCGGTGCTGTCTCGACATACCCTTCCGCTTTCATCGATTAAGTTGGCATCTATCACAGAAGCCTGGAGAAACTCACAATAGACAGTGAGTTGAAACAGTTGGTGATTCAGAAAAATGCTTACCGGGCTTGGCCTATCCTTCTAAACACATCAAGCGTTGAAATTTACCATGGTGCCTTCCTGGCTGAAAATCTTCACTGGATGATGGTTGATCCATTGATCCATTGATCTGAAAAGAACATGCTGGTCATTGGGGATCATGATCCCATTTCTATTGTTGAAAACACACTTGAAAGCATCAACTTTGAGTAGAGTGTTACCTCTGATTATAATAAGTCAATGGGCCATCAAGGCAAGTTTTGCAAATCTCCCAATTCGTGAGAGTGTTGAGTCAACACCCAAGACTTCCCCATGGCTTTGCTTTGGTCAGTTATGCGCCTTTTCTGTATGCCCATTTTGGCAGGCCCAATCTATATTATTATCTCATGTGCAATCCCCATATGTGCAGGCTCAATTCTCATGCCATGTTCAAGCCTAGTCTTAACAGGTTGATCAATTGAGATTTGCTACGTGGGGGACGTGAGTTTGTGGGAAGATGAGTTTGATAGGCTTGACATTTTAGGAACCAATTCCATATATTCCATTTGTTTGGCAATGCTGACACTTAAACATCTTGACATGTTTGTTATTAATCATAAATCTCAAATCAATAACAAATCATTTTGGTAAGGATGATCCCTATGAACAAACCATCAGTTACCGTCGCCTCGTCTTGAGGTCG